CCACAATGGACCTTTTTCCCTTCGACTATAGTAATGTGAATTTTTGGTTGACTATTTATTTTTAAATAATTCTACATTAAAAAAATTTATAAAAATGACTTCCGAAAGGTATTATTTTGCATTAGTAGTGCGACAGAGGCACGAACTGTCTAGAGGGATTCGCTTCCTCCGTTTATTGCTCTTGCTATGATTTAATACAATCCGGAAGTTTTTGGTTTTCAAAAAAAAAAAAAAAAAAAAATAGCTAACGGAATATTCTGTTACTAAAATTTACACGGACGGAATACGTGGTATTTAAAAAAAAAAATAAATGATATAACAAATGGTAAAACAGAAATAATAAAAAAAAAATACTAAAATCAAAATAATATAAACCATTCATTTCAACAAACAATTGAACTAACATTTTTTAGTTATTGTTATATGCTTAACTTTATTGACTCAGATTAGTAAATAAATTTTTAGAAAATATGGTTCAAATTCAATTATTAAACAGTGTCTTTTTCTTCTTTTTAAGGGCCGGAAAACTGAAAGTACATACTCAACTACTCACATCAATAATGGGGTCTTCATGTTTTAATAACAACGTTAGGTGAAAATCGGATGAGAACTACAAGTCCACAAGTCATACAGTTGCGTGAGTGTGTATATATTAATTGCTGTTTATTGTTTATGGAGACGTACAAGCTGCTCACCTAAAATATAAAATATGAGCCAATCACGGCTTTATTTATTTATTCAAGGAATAAGGCTATCTTATTCTTATAAATACTCTCTCATTTTCAAATCACTCAATTTACAATTTACAATTCATTTACTATTTAAACTATATCATAGTTTATAATTATTTTCTCCACCCACTGAAGCACAAAGAGTCAATAGCGCCTCTATTAAAACTTGAACCCACAACTTTCCATATGTGAGTGCAACTTAGTGTCATTAGACCACAAAGTCCTTGGCATAAGATACTTTATTTTTTTAAACAAACTTTTGAATTTCTATTTTCCAATATTATAATAGTATATATATTAATTCAAAATATCTGCGTCTGGGTTTTCAATTCATCCTAAAACTTTTTGCCCTTGGGTCTATCTTATGGGTGTATTTGATTTAGATTTTTGTAATGTAAGCTTTTAATAAAGTTTTGATGGTATTCAATTTAAGTTTTGTTTGGCAAATTTAGTGTCGGTTTGAAAATTTGAAAAAATGTTTTTTGGAAAATAATTTCTAAAAAATGTCACATTTTTTGAAAAATAATTTAATTTTCTAATATTTCGTAAAATGTCAAAATATAATTATTATTTTTTTTGTTTGATTGAAAGTTAAGAAATTGCATTTTTTCTATTTGGTTTATTTTTTTTTTTTTTTGAAAATGAACATATTATTTGTTGTTGTTGTTGTTATAATAATAATAATAATAATAATAATAATAATAATAATAATAATAATAATAATAATAATAAAAAATTAATAATAACAATTATTATTATTATTTGTGGTGGTTGTAATGGTGGTGGTGATGGTTGTGTGGTGTGGTTTGAGGGTGGTGATAATAATAATCCAAAACTAGTTTGAAAATAGATAAGAGCGAAGATAAATATGAAAAGAATAAAGAATTCAAAAAATGTCTTCCACTTTTTTTTTTTTTGAATGCTACTGACTCTATTACATTGTAGTATCTGTTCAAACATATTTTCTCAATCTATTGAAGCACAAAGAGTCAACAACGCCTCCACTGAGACTCGATCCATCCTTCTAGCGCTTGTACAGCCAAGCACCTTGTGCTCAGATGGCGTGTAGTGACTCTCGCATATAGGAGGTCATGACAAAAAAAATATAGGAAAATATTTTCCATCAAATTGAGTCTTTTTTCTATTGACCAAAATGAATGTTTTTCTTTTAACTTTATTTTCCTTTGAATGGCCAAATATTAAAAAAAATTCAAAAAATGACTTTCAAAGTCATTTTCAAATTTCCAAGTGGACCCCTAATTAAAAGTTAAAATACTAGTAGTTAAAAGTGAAAGTTGAGAGCTAATTAATTAACTTATTAATTAGAAGCGTTTAGTAAAACCATGCAAATAAATATAAATATATAAATATATATTAAAAAAACACAAGTGCACAACCATGCTAGACACCCTTATGGCAAATTATGCTATGCGCACGGCGCTAAAACTGCGTCGTTTTCCGTGAAAACGACGCTGTTTTAACTATAAAAAAAAAAATTTGTTCGAAACGTCGTTAACGGCGTTAACGGCATATTCGTTATGAAATTATGAATATACAGTTATGACATTATGAATGTACAGTTATAGAATTATGAATGTATAGTTATGGAATTATGAACTTACAATTATGAACATGCATAGAGCTTCGAAAATTATGAATGTTCGGTATGGAATTATGAATATACAGTATGGAATTATGAATGTACAGTTATGGAATTATGAATGTACAGTTATGGAATTATGAATGTACAGTTATGAAATTATGAACATAGAACTCTGACATTATGAACTTACAATTATGAACATAGAGCTTCGAAAATTATGAATTTACAATTATTGAATTATGAATGTACAGTTACGGAATTATGAATGTACAGTTATAGAATTATGAATGTACAGTTATGGAATTATGAATGTACAGTTATGAAATTATGAACACAAAGCTGTGAATATATGCTCCTATAACGAAGCGGTCTGAAATTAAATTTAAAAAAAAAAAAAAAAAAAAAAAAAGGGAAGATAACGGTGCCTGACGGCACCGTTATCCGTGCCCATGAAGCACGCTGAGCACGAGCCCACAGCATAACTATCCCACCCTTATAAAAACTACGAGTAAATACCAGCGGAGGTCCTCTGACTTTGGTGGCATTGTCACTTTTAGTCCTCAATTTTTAAATCAACCACTTTTAGTCCTCTTACTTTTTGTTTCTAGCCATCTATGGTCCTTTCGTTAAACTTGACCCTCTAATGCCGTTTTCTAAAAGATAATTCAGTCCTTTCATAATTAATTTATTAATTATTGTGTTTAATTTCCTCATCAGAATAGTCAAACAATGGTTTCCCAGCTATGAACGTGTACAAAACCAGCTCGTGAATCAAAATGGCGTACAAAAGCTGGTACGAAGGTTGTGCCAAAACGACGTCGGGATATCTCGGTATGACTCGACAAACATAATAATTAATAAATTAATTATGAAAGGACTGAATTATCCTTGAGAAAACGGCATTAGATGGTCAAGTTTAACGGAAAGACCATAGATGGCTAGAAACAAAAGGTAAGAGGACTAAGAGTGGTTGATTTAAAAGTTGAGGACTAAAAGTGGCAGTGCCACCAAAGTCAGAGGACCTCCGCTGGTATTTACTCTAAAAACTACTAAAGTTTTATGACTCTCCTAATACATTGATGTTTGTTATAAAAAAAATTAAAAAAAAAATTAAAAAAAAAAAAAAAAGAGGAGAAAAACTAATCATGCATACAAAAATTGTCAAATTAGGGGGTGGCAAAAAATAATATAGGCTCTATTTGGCACAATTAGCTAAAAGCTGAAAAGTTAATAGCTAATAAGTTAATTAATTGGAATTAAACTATTTGGTAAAATTAATTGTTGAATTAATTGATAAGTGTAAAAAGACATTAAAAAAAAGACTAAATATTAAGATTTTGAAGAATAAGGATCAAATAAGTCACTCAACAGTACACCAATCTGCAATTAGACCATCGAACTCAAAAAAAATGTAAATGGATCCATGAACAACACAAACTCATACAATTAGATCCAAAATGACATGTTTTACCATAAAGTATGATGATGTGGTGGTTACCGATTTTAAAAACAAATTTAAATAAATAAATAATTAATTAATTAATTAAAAAAAAAAAAGAACAGAACATCCGGAGACAATCGTCTTGACTAAAAAAAAACAAGAACCAATTTGACTAGCGTGACTAAAATTGATAAAAATTAAATAGTTAAGTTGCTAAATTAACAATTTTGAAAGTCGTAGATTGTAATTAACAAGACCCCAATAGTCACATGACCAAAATTAAAGTTTACTTTATAAAATATATACAATGCCAACATATTATGTGTCTTTAATTTATTTGCATGCACAAATTGTTAACTGCAAATAAAAAATAGGTAAAATAAACATTAGTCCATCAGTCCATGGTATAATTTGCCTAGATCATATAGACAAATAGTAAGGGTTTTGGGCAATCGTTATGCTATGGACCCGTGTTCAACATGCATGCTGGACACAGGTTTTTTTTTTTTTTTTTTTTAATTTCAGACCACTTTGTTATAGGAGTATATGTTCATAATTGTAAGTTCATAATGTCAGAGCTCTATGTTCATAATTTCATAACTGTACATTCATACTTTCATAACTGTACATTCATAATTCCGTAACTGTACATTCATAATTCAATAACTGTAACTTCATAATTTTCGAAGCTCTATGATCACAATTTTAGAGCTCTATGTTCATAATTTTATCACTATATGTTCATATTGTAAGTTCATAATGTCAGGGCTCTGTGTTCATAATTTCATAACTGTACATTCATAATTGCATAATTGTACATTCATAATTCCGTAACTGTACATTCATAATTCAATAACTGTAAAATCATAATTTTCAAAGCTCAATGTTCACAAATTTAGAGCTCTATGTTCATAATTTTATCACTATATGTTCATAATTGTAAGTTCATAATGTCAGAGCTTTGTGTTCATAATTTTATAACTTACATTCATAATTTCATAAATGTACATTCATAATTCCATAACTGTACATTCATAATGACACAAACGAATAACGCCGTTAACGGCGAGACAAAATCAAAATATTTTTTTTAAAACTGAAATGACGCGTTTTCCCTAAAAACGGCATTGTTTTGGACTCGTGTCGACAATGCATTGTGACACGAGTCCGGTTTTGGGATGGCGTAGAGTAGGGAAATAAAGCCCAAACTGAGAAAGCAAAAGAATTTCCAAAATGAGGAGAGATTGAACATTTTATCTGCTGCCAAATTCTACTTCATAATCTACAAAGCAATGAACACAATACATTCAGTCATTTGTACACCAAAGCTTGTCGCCCTTCAACTGTAGATGATACAGAAGGGCGGGCGCCGGGCAGGAAGCCAGCCCCTCCCTCGACAGGGTATTAATTACAAATTACAGTGCATCTACGACAACAAGCTCAACTCATCCATAGCTTGTACTACTACTCCCACTCCCGTTCCCATTCCCATTCCTAATTCAGTTTCATCTTCGGCTTGAATTACTTCGACCTTGGTTTTAAAGCTCTCGGCTTTGTCACTTGTGTCGCCTGCAGCTATGCAGTCCTGGAATCTGAAACAACTGATGAGATGGTCATTCGAGATTCCAGCAGCTTGCATGAATGAGTATACAACGGTGGGTCCAATTCCTCGGAAACCTCTTCTAACTAGATCTTTGCTTATCGTTTCAGCTTTTGATGTCTTGATTGGAACCTGTCTTGGGTAACGGAAATTACCAACTATAGGCTTGTTGTTTACGAAACCCCATATGTACTTGTCAAACGACCCAATCTCATCAACTATCTGCAGCAGGAGCACAGTATTAGCACACACTTTGCCAAATTTATGCTTCACAAAGCTGAGAGAAGGAAACTTGGACTTCCACAAATAAGGGATATATGCAAAAACAGTGAGATTTAGTACTCACCCTGCATATCTGGCGTGCATTTTCAATAATTGCTCGCAGCTTCAACTCTGACAGGAGAGAGCTGGCAGGACTTCCTTGCATCAATACCTTCTTATCATTCAGTTTTGAGACAGCAACAGGATCAAAATTTTGAAACACTTCTCTGCGCAACAAATAATTCACGATGAATTGAAGCAGCAGAGTTTCTAAAAGGTTACAAGGTCTTGGAATACAATTCAATGTCCTCAACAACATAGTAAACTTCAAAATTACCGGAAGGTTTGCCTTCTGCTGAGAATGGCTGGCCATGTAAGTTCAGCTAATGCAGTGCACAAACTAAGTAATTCGAAAAGCTTTCTGCAGAATGTAAATTACCATAAACTTAGATGACAATAAAAAAGAATTGACTTCTTGTTGCAGACTATGCAAAAATAAGCAAATAAAGGCATGTGAAAATGGCCTACCTATCATCATGGACAGGAACTCCCCATTCCTCGTCATGGAAAGCAGCATATAACGGATCTGCTAGGGAAACAAGGATAATTTAGCAGAGGATTTTCAAAAGTCAAATTTCTTAAATCTTTGGAAATAACAGAAAAGCCACCATAATACATGGAGCCGTGGAGGAAAGTCCCAAAGAACTCTATGGATAGTGAAATTCAATTTACAAATTAAAGCATTATCATATCTTTGTCAAGCTCTTGCTAGGTTATACAGAATATGCACTGGCCATTGGCCCTTGGCTTATAATTGGTTTAGGTGAGGCCTCCTAGACCTGAAGTCAAGAGTTCAAATTTCACATCCCACACAGACATACCCAAGAAGGAAAAAAAATAAATAAATATGCATCATAATCATAACAATGTAGCAAACTATTTTAGTCAACATTATGAAAACCTACTATAGCACAAGGAAACAGATAAGGGATATAAAAACATCCGCCACTAGCATGTCCTAATTGGCAGCTGAGCCCTAAGCATTTCTTAGGAGACAAGAAATCATTTTTCCACAGTTGTCACAAATGCAAGACAACTTAATAACCATCATGTATGTCAGTCCATTACAAAGTAGTATAATAGTTATGGGCTTATGGCACATGTTAACAAGCATATCATTTCAGCTCATCAGACCATTGTTTATTTAGGGCCTCAAGCATGGCTTTCTGTGGCAAAAATAGGCACACACTTTCACACAATCACAGCCCCCCCCCCCCCCCCCCCCTTCCCTCCCCTCTCGTTTTAATATACAACTGCTAAATCTACAGGCAAATTCTATTACTTCAACACCATATGTACATTCCCCTCTGTTTTCCATACACTTAGACACTACTCTATAATGCAGAGTAAACATCTGCTACCCACATGAGCAAGGCATGGTGGCAAACTGAAAATACTTTCCACCACTCACCAGGCCAGCAAATAGTAACTATACTCAATTTTGTCTCTTGTTTGCTCTTTCCAGGGCCCAAAATACAATGATTGTGTTAAGAAACCGAAAACAAGGTTAGGAAAGAAAGAGAATTCATGTTTTATTGTAACTTTAAGATTGACAAGCTAGTTGAATTAATTACAAGTTCAGAGGAAAATATGGAAAATGAGTGGCAAGGCTGAAGGAGATTTCTGAGAAATGAATGGAGGATTTCTTAGAAGGCCTTGGAAAAAGAAACTTCCCTAAATTATAGAGAACATGAATAACAGAAGTTATGGGAGTATTTAGTGAACTTGGAAAATCAGAGAATTTTCCAAAATTTTGGAAAACAGGCCAGATAATGGAAAATGTGTTCGGTAAGTTCATTCTCCAAATTGATGAACAGTAGCTGTGTTTTCCAATTTTCCAATTTCCTTCATAAAGTTGGAAAACAGCTTCTTTTTTGCACTCATTTCAGCTTTTTATTTCCCAAAGTCTTATAGTAAAAAATGAATAGAAGAGAGATTACCTTCCCAATCCGAGAAGTTCTGGTGACGATGGAGAAGAGTTGAGAATTGGCTGTGGGCTGCCTTCTCATTTGATTGAGAGACATGAGAGTGAAGAGAGATTGAGAGAAAGAAGATCCATTATCCATTCGAGGGAAATGAGAGCTGGCTGAGAGAAAGAGAGAGGAGAGTCGATTGATAACATGTAGCAAGGTTAGGGTTGTAGAATTGGGCTTGGAGGAAATGGATGGCCCAAAAGGAAAATTGGATTTGTTTTTCTATTTGGAGAATTAGATTTGATTTCAATTTGGAAAAGGAAAATTGCGGAAAATGCAGAAAATGGAAAATAGTTGTTCAAACTAACTAATGTAAAAAAGTATTTGTAGATGCCCCAAAACTATTATCAGTTTTCAGATTATTATTATTAGTTCAATAAGATTAAGCATTGTAAGAAGTACATAAAGAACAAACGTACTCTATGATAAGTGCATCGAGAAGAAATAGAATACATTAAATAGCAATCACATTTAAGAGAACTTATTAAATCGGTGCTTGCAAGTATGAAATGTAAAAATATGTGCTGAAATTGCACTCAAGTACGGCAGATTGAGCATAGATATGTAAAACTAGTAATTCCAAAACTCTTCATTATAAGCATGTCAGAGTTCAACTGTACACATAAAATATCTAACCACGTGTTACAACAATAGAAATAAGCTAGACACCATAAAGTACGTGCAATTATCAGTGCACATCACGCATACAGTACTGAGCGGACAAATCCGCATAGCATATTTTATCAAAAGCCAAAAGATAATGTCACCATTCAAAAGATTAAATCTTCAATAGTATCCTATTAACTTTCTAAACTAAACTGTCTTTGTTTTCAATATTCCCAAGTGAAGCCTGAGTGGCAATAAAATAGCAAGTGATAAAAGCTCAATACCAACCACAAGAGGAAGCACTCTGATTTATCACAGTAGATAAACAAAATTACATACTTCATTACCTAACAAAGGAAAGGCCTAGCAAAACAAAGTGCATTGCCAATATGGCCATGAAGACAGCCTAAAAGGCAATCAACAAGAATGTGAAGGGAAAAACTACTATCTGCATGTTTACATACTAAAAACAGTCCAAATTGAAGCAAAAGGTAAAATCTTTATAATTTAAGGTACTACTGGCATAAAAGACCAGTCAAGGACTTCAATTCAGTTATAACTGAATTATTCGAACAGCCTAAATACTCTTGTTATAGAAATTTTTACTCTCAATGGCCATACTTATGCAGTTAGGAAATATATCAACTATCTAAAATTTTGTCAGGATGATATAACTTGCTGAAATTCAGAGAAACTCGGGACATACCAGTATTAGCAGTCACCCAAGCACACCTTTTCTTCAGCACAGAGACATCATCCGAACTCACAGACAAGCTTTCAACTTCACTTGCAAGTTTCTCGATGACCTTCTCCGTTTTGGGGCTGCATTGCTTCCTCCTAGCCGGTGTAGAGGTCATGCTCCGTCTGATAATTCTCCCCGTGGACGCCCGGCTCTGAGAAGAGTCAGTCGACGCATCGGAGGAGCACGAGGCGTTGAGCGACAAGTTGGACCTCATCAAAAAGGACCTCTGGTCCTGCTGCTTCCGCAGAATTGAACCCACACTGCCGCATTTCTTCAATGCCGATACCGGAGACCGCGATTTGGGCGGCTGATCAGCCACCGCCTCCGACATTGCCTGGAATCTCTTGCAGTCACTCTCTCGAGGCTTCTCCACCTTGTTACTCTTCAACTTCTCAGCGGGTTTGCGCAGTTCGGCCGATCTCGCCTTATTTCCAGCCGGTCCGAGTACGGGTCGGATCTCCGACTCGGCATTGTCCATCGATTTCACGCGGGGGACCGGATATTGCGTGAATTGGACCCTCACAGTCGGATATTGGCGAAACTAGGGTTTTAGGGTGAGAAGAGAGGTTGAAAAAGATGAAATGGTGGTGTATCCGGTTCCCAGGGTGGGAATGCAGAGAAATGAAACCCTAGAGAGAGCAGAGTAGAAGGTACATTGATGACGATGAAGCCCCTGAGGGTAGTAGAAGTAGAAGTAGAAGTAGGAGTGGGTCTGAGAAAATTGAAGCTGTTCGTTCGATGGAGGAAACCAACGGCGGCTAGAAAAAAGGATATTCTAGAGAGAGAAAGAGTACGAACTGTTACTGTTCTTGAGTGAGAGGAAAAAACAGAGTTTTTTGCAATTTTGGTCCCACGACTATAACGTTGCAATTTTAGTCCACGATTATTGTTTTTTTGGCAAAAATATCCTTCCGGCCACTTTTCCGTCAAAATTTTATCGGAGGAAAATTTCTTCAAGGCTAAATTTTAGATTTCGCTTGCAATAACAACATCAATAGTCCAGGTTTGCAATACACTTTATATAAAAGCATATTCTGCACTTTTCGTACTAGACAAATTTAGCAATTTTAGTCCTCCTAAAACTGAAGAAATTTTCTTCTGGTGGAATTTTGACGGAAAAGTGGCCGGAAGGATCATTTTTGCCAAAAAAAAAATAGTCGTGGACTAAAATAGCAAGGTTTGAAAGTCGTGGACCAATTCTGATAGTGCCACTATAGTCGTGGGACCAAAAATGCAAAAAAAAAACTCGGAAAAAAACACAACTACAACTATTGAAGTTTAGATATAAAATACAAATAAGCCACCAAGTTATTTAAAAAACATGAATTAAGCTATCGAACTTGAATAACATCTAAATAAGCCACTAACCCGGATAAAATGAGCAATTAACATTTTTACTAAGTTAAGCCTTAGTTTTTACTTGTTAAATATTTATTTTATTTTTTTATTTGAACAAGAATACTTTTTACTTGAAAGGAAAATTCGACAAGAAAATCATATAACTCCATAAGGCTACTTTATTTGATTTTCAAGACAAACTATATCCCATCATCTTCTTATCTTGATGTCAACTTAGGTCTAGACAATCTTATTATTGGAGGAGTATTTGAGGTGCTAGGAATGTTATACTGGGAGGTACGAGATAGATAAATGGGAATAGAGAAAAAGTTTGAAGTTGGGAGAGTCCTTGGATACCAAGAGCATTCACTTTCAAGCCTAACTCTTTTCCAACTCATAATCTTAATTTCTAAGATAATGTGTGTAAACTTATCATACAAGTGTTGAATATGTGGAATTATGGATTAGTTGGGAGCGACTCTTGTAAGGAAGACGCATATTGTATCCTTAATATATCTATTGGAGAGAAATGACTCGGAATAAGCTCATGACATTTTGACTAAGAAGGAGAATTAATGTTTGGTGTGTTTATTTGATCATTGCCAAACAAAATCTCCATAGAGATTATTGTTTATCTAAACCATCATCTTCACTGAACAATACAAATAGATCTTGGAAATCCTTTTAAAAATTGAAGCTTCCATTGAAAATTAAAATCTTTTTGTGGATGGTGAAAAATGAAACTCTACTGTACTGGTTAGTGATTGCTTGTTGAACATGAATAAGGTATTATGTTTCTACCTATTATGCAATATGGAAAATGTGTTGATTCTACATGCATGCTATGTGGGATTACCCTTATTCTCCACCAAGTGTGAGCTATTTCATGCATTGGGATATGTTGAAATTTCTTTTCATATACGAATGTTGATTTTTATGTCACAAGTCAGATTAAATGTATAAATGAGTATAAAAAAATCATGTTTGTTTTCATTACTTGGTTTATAAACATAGAAACAAAGTTGGGATTATGCTGATGAGTGAGTTTATAATTGCAAATGAATTACACATTTGAATTTTTTGTGACTAAATTTTATGTTCTGACTTTTTGTGTATAGTTAGATGGTTAGTATTTTGCTAGTCTAGCTACCTTGTGCATAGTTGGTTTCTAAACAAAAACTTGGTTGGCAAACGAAAGTTTTGTGACTGTTACATCAAGGAAGAGGCGAGGCTTTTTAGCATTGTGGTTTAAATGTTTAATGCATAAACCGAACAAGGTTCACCATACGCATGATAAATTATGTTCAAATTATGTACCTGTACTTAACATATTATGTTATTCAGTTTAGTGACAATACATAATATGTTAACTGAATGTATATAATAATATGTTAATGGGAGGTACACAATCTGAATGTCTTTTTTCTTTTTCTTTTTTTTTTTCTTTTTCTTTTTTTTTTTTAATATCAAGATCAACCTATAATTTGTGATAAACCTTAAGGGACTGTTTGGTTCATGGAATGTTAGATTACTGTGAATGTCAAATTTCTGTGTTTGGTTAAAAGTGAGGTATGTAATATAATCATGTTTAGTTTAATGTTATCTTTTATATGCGCACACTATAATATTCTTAACATATTTTTATATATTTTAATAAATTTAAACATTAAAATAAATAAATAAAATAACGGTATCATATATAATTACATGATTTTAAAATATTAACTAAAATCTTGAACTTGCGAAACAAAATTATTTTATATACTAACATAACGTAATAAAAATAAAAAATATATAATTACAATATATATATATATATATATATATATATATATATATATATATATATATATATATATATATATATATATATAAGCTAACATAAAATATATATTTTTAAATAATTAAAATTAAAATGACAAAATTTATAAATATCCAAAGTTATCTTACATAACCTAAGAAAGAGAAGGGAATCATATTCCCTTGAAAATCCTATATGGAGGGAATGTTATATTCTCTAAGATAATATGAACTAAACATAGGAATATAAGTTTGAAAATGTCACATTCCCTTGGTTATGTTATATAACCTGAACCAAACGTCCCCTAAGGGTTTCTTAATGAATTTTGGTGCAAATGGAGAACTAGTTGGCACTGCCCATATGTCTTGGCAAATTAGACCATAGACCAAGGTCTACATTACATTGTGGACCTTGGTCTAAAATAATCTTCAAATTATGTGTTTGTAGTTGACAATTTGACATATTCATTATTTGCTGTTAACAATTAATGTTCTGTAAATAAATTGAAGGCACATACATGTTAACTATAGACATATAATATGTTAACTGTAGAAACATAATATGTCTTCAATTAATATATTATGTGTATGTAGTTATCATATTATATGTTTTTAATTAACATGTTATATGCTTTCAACAAGACATAATATATCCATGGTATAACAACTGCTATGTCCTTGAGCAAACTGTCTCATCTTATTGGGCCACTCTCCTCAGCCCATATCCATAAGACCCACTTCACTCCACAAATCTAGCCCAACTAATTATCTCCAACCCCATTATGCCATTTTACCACAAGATAGGCTGGGCCAACAGCTTATTGGCTAGCCTAAGAAAGTGTGTAAATAGTGCTGCGATAGTTTAATTGGCAAATTATGTTATGCATCCGTATGCACAATGCATGATGCATACGGATGCAAAAACGATATCGTTTTGCATCAAAACGTGTGTCCTACTTTAAAAAAAAAATTAATTTTAATTTTCAGCAACAACATTATGTTATTTATTTTTTAGTTCATTCATTTTGGATTTTTAATTATGAAATTCTGGATGTATAGTTATGCAATTCTGGATGTGTAATTATGAAGTTATGGACGTGTAGTTATGCAATTTTGAATTTATAGTTATGAATTTATGGATGTGTAGTTATGCAATTCTGGATGTATAGTTATGAAATTATGGATGTGTAGTTATGCAATTCTGGATTTATAGTTATGAAATTATGGATGTGTAGTTATGTAATTCTGGATGTATAGTTATGAAATTATGAATGTGTAGTTATGCAATTCTGATTTTTTTAAGTTAGACGTTAAAACGACGTCGTTTTTGCATCCGGATGCACCATGCATGGTGCATAGCATAACGATCCGTTTTAATTTGCAGATCCTAGTGGACCGTTATATAGTTTCCCATGTGCAGTTCATCAAAAAAAAAAAGTGGTAATGGTAATGGTAATGGTAATGGTAATAGTAATAGTAATTATTATTATTATTATTATTATTATTATTATTATTATTATTATTATTATTATTATTATTATTAATAAAATCACAAGTAATAAGTAACCAGAGTTTTACTCTCAAAAGTTTTTATACTCTATATGTCCTATTTTACCTATCATTTTTTATTATTCATGGTCAAATTAACTCTTTCTTCTTTATTTATTTTATTTATTAGTTTTCAATTATTTTTAAATTCAAAATTTAATGTTTTATAGTAGTTTGTATATATATAAATTTTATATAGTAATACTAAATTTAATGTTATGAAAATTTAAATTAAAAATAGTTTCAGTCAATCCTCGTTGAACGAACTAGAAAAATAAAATGGGACGCATGGAGTATTATTTTTCATATCAATTTCTGGTTTTTAAAATTATATATGTTTGTGTTAGTAGATAGTACATAAGGTTTATATATATTTAAAACTATATAAAATGTAAAAAAAAAAATATAATATCAAATATTTAAAATAGTAAGAGACGTGAAGATTAGGTTTGAATTATTAGTTTTACATTGAAAAAATGTAGTATCAAAGGCATATATAGTTGAGGACATGACTTTAAGGAATTGAAGATAAGATATGGGTATTAGAGGTAATCTGATCTTGAAAAGAGATATGGAAATAAGGTTAGAACCATATCATATCCTCAATCCTTTCTTATGCATTCTAAATATAGAATTTGATGACGAAGTATATAGAATTATTCATGCTACGAAGTATATATGCTTCCTAGGTTGCTAGCTGCTCATTTTACATTATTCTTAATTATTTTCATAAGATATTTATTTTTTTTAAGAAATCCATCTTAGGTCAAACAAACTCCTTTAATTGTCAAAGACTTTGTGATCAAACGGCATGAAGTGACTCTCTCAAATGGGAGGTCATGGGTTCGAGTAACAATGGAGACAGTACCGACTCCTCGTTGAGGAAATATATATGAACAGATACTATAAGTAACATGGTCAATAGTACTCAAAGGAAAAAAAAACACACTCCTTTAGATAATGTTGTTTACCGCAAATTATTGTGTGAATTATAACGAAAAGTACATTATTCGTGTATTGAATGTAAAATAATATACTTTCAATACTTAAATAATGTACTTTTCCTTAATACAATGTACATTTTTAATATACTAAAAGAGAAAAAGTATATTATTTGTGT